TACGTTTAAACTAAATCAACAGCTATTAAAACGCAGGAAACCAAGGATTTTAAGTATAGAATCGCGCTATTCGCATTCTCTGAACAGAGGAATGCATTATTCAAAGAGAAGGTTTTAAAGATTTTTGTGTGGCTTTGTTATCAGTTGGCTAAATTTCAGAGACGCGAAACGCAAACTTTAGTTGTGAGACAATACGCGCGGTATAATGGGAGCCCTTATTGACCAGAATTCTTTTAACTTGATCTATTTGACAGCCCCATTTGACAGGTTAATACAATTTCTAACTACAAACATTATAAGGATATAGTCTGGTATCAGCACATATGACAAATATTGTGTTCAGTTTGAGTGTAATACTTTAAAAATTTAACCTATTTGTAGTTTGAATACCTCTGATGATATATTCCTTCAAAATTAAAAGTTCTGTCATGTCCACATCAAAGACGGAATGGTGAGTGAACCGACATATGTGTGTAATTGTGACCACATAATAACACGTAACATAAAGATCCTTGTCTCCATTTTGGAAGTTAGGTGACATTAACCGGACATCTGTAGAGACGTAAGACGTACGAAGTGATCAAAGTCTACCGATGTTCCGTTTCTAAGCAGCTGGTTCACGCATAAAGCGATTACTTTTGGTAACGTAGCCGTAAATATTACAAAAGCTGAGCAACGCCAAATCTTTTGCATGTTCGAGACTTTCTTTTCATCAACATATATTTATTAAAATACTATTATAAAAAATAATTACTCTTATCGTATCAACACAATTTAATTTAAGAAGTGTCCGAATAAATAACGGCTATGTGCGCACTGAAGATGGAGGCAGTATCATTTTCCGAAACAAGAGCATCTGCCGACCAGTCCACATGGCGCCAGAATCCATAAGCACATCATCGAAGAACGGCTACATTCCCTAGTAGTCTGTAAACAATAATGTAACACTTTGGTTATTTCCCGGAAGAAAGTAAACCACAACATTCCTTCTTTGTGTCACGTCAAGCTTCGTAACCGTAGAAGAAGAAGAAGAAGTTAAATTAAAATGTAATTTGAAGTCCTTCACGTGGAATAACAAGCAGGCCGTCGGTTTCTGAGTCTGCAGCTATTTCTGTGCTAGGCCTGGAGTAGCTGAGAGTTCCAGCGTAAACAACTCAGACTGATAATTGAGTTTATTTGGCTGGTCCAGACATACATGTGGCCATGTTACCTTCCAATTAGCAGTGTAATGCCTTTGATCCATTACTATTTACGTTTAAACTAAATCAACAGCTATTAAAACGCAGGAAACCAAGGATTTTAAGTATAGAATCGCGCTATTCGCATTCTCTGAACAGAGGAATGCATTATTCAAAGAGAAGGTTTTAAAGATTTTTGTGTGGCTTTGTTATCAGTTGGCTAAATTTCAGAGACGCGAAACGCAAACTTTAGTTGTGAGACAATACGCGCGGTATAATGGGAGCCCTTATTGACCAGAATTCTTTTAACTTGATCTATTTGACAGCCCCATTTGACAGGTTAATACAATTTCTAACTACAAACATTATAAGGATATAGTCTGGTATCAGCACATATGACAAATATTGTGTTCAGTTTGAGTGTAATACTTTAAAAATTTAACCTATTTGTAGTTTGAATACCTCTGATGATATATTCCTTCAAAATTAAAAGTTCTGTCATGTCCACATCAAAGACGGAATGGTGAGTGAACCGACATATGTGTGTAATTGTGACCACATAATAACACGTAACATAAAGACAAACGGAACAATAGAGCCAAAATTCGCCATGAAGCATTATCTGTTAGGTCGAATTTCATTTGTGGTGCCCACTCTGAGCATTTATCGCAATTTAGTCAAGTAAAGCCCACGGATTTGTGGTCGTTTGTTCCTACACGCGAATCCCCCAGTTCGGTCACAAAATTTATAAACTCAAAATACTGTTTTCTAGTTGTGGGATTAAACGCAGTCGTTTGCATGCTATACGGTCAGTAAAATGTGCTCATGGTTATTTATGGGAACTTATAGGGAACAAATAAAATGTTTGTTGTTATGTATCATGAGAGTTAAATTATTTTTAATCAGTAACGAATCAAAATTACATTTACAAAGAAGATAAGAGCAAACTGGACTCAAGGTTGCTTGTTAGTGTTTTTTCATTCAATTAAACATGTTTTCTGTCCTTTTACTATACCTAAAAACCCGAAGATTAAAACATAAATTATAATTTTGCCTGTTTCTTGATATATTAATTAAATTAAAACTCTTGCCTTACGGAAAGAGCATGGATTGTTGGCGTTTGAGAATCGGATGCTGAGATCAGATGAATCTTAGAGAAAGAGAGAAAATAAGACGAGGGTGGAGAAAATCAGGTAATGAAAGGTTTTATGTAGGATTTGAGGTTTTCACGGCGGTGAGTCCTGATGATGGAGGCACAAGGACGTCTGAAACGTCTGTAAAATTCTACCAAACTACATGGCCCAACAACACAGATTATAGCCATCTTAAAAAGCTTTATGATTTATAGACATCATCAATATCATTAGAATGGTGTATTCAAGGAAGATGAGATGAGCAGGAAATGTAGTACGCATGGTTTATTCCTACATGGAGAATTCTCTTAGCTTTTATCTCGAAAATTTGAAGGAATGTAACTACTTGTAAAACCTTGACATAGAAGCAAAGATAATATTAAAGTTGATCTTAAATAGAATATAAAGTGTACTGGATTCAAATGGTCAGGATAATGTCCAGCTATAAGGAACACTCAGGTTTCATAAATGGCGGGTAGTTTGATCACTAGCCTAGTGACCATCATCTGAAGTAGTACTTGGCGCCATGGAATAAAACGTTAATATCATTTTTATTATAAAACTACTTATTTTGCCATTATGTTGAATACGTTCTGATAATCTCGAACCCTGGTTATTTTCTTACATTTTTTTCTAATTGGGATTGTAGAATGGCCAGACGCATCAAGCAGAAATGCGGTAACATTCATTAGTTCATTTGCCTCTTCCTTCACATCAATTCCACAGTCACACACTCACAATATATCTAAATACGGAAGCTGAGGCTTTTAAACGTAATCATAAATATTATTTATGGTGGAGACCGCTGAGTGTCAGCTGCACTATCCTATGCTGTCCTTATTCCACTTCGCAGAGGAGTAACAAGACGTGGTTCATTATAATTTAACACGACACAGGCCTGCTATATCACGGAATCTTACAGTTTTCCATTTAGGAGATGGCGAAATAAGTAACCAACACGATTACACGTAGCAACGTTCCATACAAGAAATGAAATCTGGGGCGGAGTGGGGAGAACACGAGAGGTAAAAAGAAATTGACGCACAAAAAATAGACCACACAACTTCAAAGAAAACAATCTCTTGGGTACATGATGGCGTGACTTGAGAAAAGGACACAGAACAGCAGGAAAAATCATAAATATTACAAAATGTCTAGTTACGTAAATTTGGTTTCAACCAGACTGATAATAAGTAAGATGAAAATAATTTAATGTATTTTTAATGTAACGCATCACATCATAATTTATTAGAAATTCCCTTAAAGTAACTTCATGAGTAATCGAAATATACAGGCGAAAAGAAACAAACAACAGGACACAAAATGTCTTTTCAGAATGACATATACAAAGACAAACAGGGGCACTAGTTCCGAAATCTGGTTATCATATTTTGACAACTGGTCGCAAGTTATAGGCAGGAGGATTAGTTGAGACTTCTGGCCAAATGCCGCAGCTCGGAAAGCTAATTAGATATCCGGCCACGAAACACTGACAGCAACACTAACTAGTTAGGTTATATGGTGACAGTATATAGGCAGCTCCAGTATCAAAATGTGATCAAGGACACAGCTGGTTTGCTTGTATAATTCCTAACAAATTATCTACTACGTCTCTAATGGAACCAGAAATGTCATTACCGTGTTTACAGCAGCCCGTTACTGTGACCGATATAAATTGAGTCTCTACTCCTACTTGTATCTATTTAAGATCCACTGTAATAATGTCATTAACTTCTACGATTATGCCTTCCGATAGGATTCTTCCATTCAGGTTTCCCTATTAAATGTTCCCCAATGCCTAATTGTAGGCTCGCATGTCATCCTCATTGGCTTCATGATCCTAATATACTTCATTAAAGATCCCAGGAATTAATTGTGATTAATCAGTATTTTTGATGGGTTTCCACAAGAGATTGTGGGGTCTCGTACGTGTCGTAAAAGTGTTCCCTACGTCTCTGAAGGTAATCACTGTTCTAGTTACTGCAGCGGATGTGGTGCTAATGGAACAGAGCCGAAGTCTAACACACAAATGCCGAAAGGCGCAAGGGACGCTGCCCATCCTGTTTATAGTCAATAGCTGTGTTATGGAAAGAAACGCTGCTGTGTGATCAAAGACTGAGTTTGTCTGTGGCAAAATTCGTTGTTTACACACACTAATTAATTCATCACACCCTCTGTGGCTTGATTACACACAGGCATATGATACATATCAATGCTCCTGTTTTACTTGTTACAAAAAAAATGAGATGTGGCTCCCTTGGTTCTTACATACGAATTTTATAAATTATGACATCATGATTATGTTTAGATTTACGTAACCATTCTTACTGGGATTCGAACCCAGGACACTTTTCATTATTTTTTTACCCCGAAAATATTTTTCATGTTTCAAGGCATGACCATGTCAGATTTTATGCAAATTCGCTGTGAATATATTCTCGAGCTACGAGCAAACATATATAGGCCTCTACACATTTTTCCACAACAATAAGAAATTTTTATTATTATTATTATTGCCTCTACCTTCTCCTACCACTACCACTACCACCACCACAACCTCATGTTCTGTAAGGATCATGACACCATTTGTAACAGCATCCGGAGAGAAATATCAGTTTCAATCGATTACTTCATTTCGTAGAAAGCTTAAATTTGGATGACAACTTAAAGCCCCCGTTTTGTGTTTCAGAGAACTGGACGCGTGGGAGTCTGATTTTCTGATCTGCATCATTCCTTTGTTCAGAAATTCAGGTATGTGTTTGATCCGTTAAACACTGATTATTGGAACAGAAAACGACGACATAATTCCTGATCACCATTTTATGTGTTCTTCTTTGAAGCGGATTAAACTGACACATAATCGTCTTATATATTTTGTCTCTCCTTCTAGACGTTTTACCTTGGTGCATTGCCCAGCCAATTTCAACGCACATCTGCCTGATTACTTTTATGAATCTCGAATCAAATACTTTATAAGTTTTTCAAAAATACCGCTCATCGTAAAAGAATACCTACAGTCGAGTGCCTAAAAGTTTTAAGGTTTGTACATAATTAGGCACATGTAAGCGTTAACATTCTTTAAAACACCCTAGTGTTTATATTTCTTAAACATCCGGTATATACCTCCTGGAAATTTATAACTTATAAGCCAAAGATTTTTTATACAATATGTTCAGAGGAAAAAGCCGTGTTACTCAGCGTGAGACTTGTTATGTCTCTCTGCGTTAGCAATCTGTAATGGAGTCTTTCCCATAAAATTACAGTACAAAATGAAGAAGACGTAAATAAAATATATTTAATCGCATTTTTGTTACTATTAGGTTATAAAATTGTAAGATCCTTAAATTTACTTATTATAACATGTTAGTGGTATATAGATCAACTTCACGAGAACTCGTTGGCAAGAATTTTGGCTGTCATGACTTACAAAAGACAGTGAGCTTGCATGTGTCGCCTCTTCGGGATTCTGAACGGAACAGTTATGTACGTGAGGATAAAACAGCGACAATTATATTAGGATAAGGGTTAGATCAAGGCAGTAGTAACTGTTTAGAAGCTTACTGTGATTTCCTGTAACCACTTTCACATCACATTGCTGAGGAAACTGTCTTAAATAAGGCAGGCATGTCTATTGAGTGCGACTGTAACAGTATTAGCGTCACTCGCTTTGCATTCTCGTTAGTCTGTGTGATTTGAGAACTAAAGAAAGTGTTTCTCAAAGCTAAGGAAGATAAATTAATTAAACGTTATAAAATACAATCCTTTGAATAAGAAGTATAATTTAAAAGTAAATTAGAATAACGTGCTGTTGCATTTAGATTTTCGAATCATGCCAGCCTGCATAAACACGAACTATTAGTTTTGAAGATTCTGTATGCCCTACGAATTTAGAAGGGCGGCATTCAGTTCAGATTTGTTTCAATATTTTAATATCTTCATCTGATAATAGAATCTTGAAACAGAACGCAATTGGAACTCTCTCACGCTAAAACAGAATCAGTCTGAATAAGAAAATTGTTGATATTTTACGTATTTGTCAATTAGCTTGTGCGCTGTCTAATATTAAGGATGTGACTTACCCGTATTTTGGAGGAATCCTCCTTTAGGGTGTAACACATTCCTCCTCGACATTAGGCGGTCAATGCATTGTTAATTAATTTATAAACATGCCTGTTATAAGCTAACGGTAGTTAATTTTAATCAAGTAAAATGTCAGTTAATAAGCGAGTAGCGTATTTCGGAAGTGTAATCAAAAACTTGACTTTCAGAGCAGGTCTGGCATTAAAATTTAAAATATAGTTTGTAAGAAAATAATCCGATATTTCACGAACACGTGCTCAAAATGTCATAACCCCGATAACGAGCAGATTAACTTGCCGATAACACGTGACTTTCGTTCTGGACGAATCTATTTTGTTCGATTAATCAACCTTTCCCAGGAGACAGTTTTACGTGCTCGAGGCCAGTGTTAGGATTTTATATTCACGTAGGCCGAATACACGAACAACTCTTTCAAAATGTTTCCTCATTAATGTTTATAGTTACAGCATTGTATTCTGAGCTGCTATAACGTCTGTATTCGGCACAGACTTTGTAAATATTAAACAAAGTCAATAATATACAGTTCAGAATGTCGTGTTGAAGCCAGTTTCAAAAAGAACAAAACAACATGAAGCACTCACAATGTGGAGTGGGGTGTGTTTTGAATTTACAAATAAAATAGAACAGCACACTAATGACACAAACAGTTTGTTATTGACAACTAAATTAGTAATTGTAGAACATGTGAACATGTGGACACTGCAGTGTACCCCAGCGGCAGCAGAGAGTTCACATCAATTGCATAATTAAAGTTAAATGAGGTCATGACACGCAGTTCAAACGCTGAAGCATTTATCAGCGACTTACATTCACACAATTCTGCGCAGTAAGTTTCAAAGGTAATTACGACAAAAAGAGTGTAATATCGCACATGAACACCATAAAATGCTTCGTCCTTATTAATAGTACAGAACTTTGTAATGTGCACTGGTTACACTAGAGACGTTTTCTGTTTAGTTCAGAGGTTACTGAAGTGACCGACTCAAACGAAGGCATGGAAGGCAGAGAGAGAGAGGGAGGGATGTACAAATGGCTCCTGCTTCACGATTGAAGTGACTGAATACTTTATACACAAACTCTCTGACGTTTATTGGCTCACGAGAGTACGTGACATTGGATGAGCAGAAACGTCCAAAATTCTGTCGACGTCTTTCGTGTGAGTATGTTAAATTTGTGTCATGTCCCGTGCACCGTTCTACTGGCTTTATTTCAAGCTAATCGGTGAGGTAGAACTCCTATCTGATCTTCGCAAAATGTCAAAATCTTTTGCGTTGATCACAACTGTTGAGAGCCAGTAACCTCAATAAATGTACACGAACATTTGTATGCCTAATTACGATGATAATACACAATGTTAGTTTCGATTAGCGTAAGTCCATTTAGCATACTGACACCAAATTGCCTAGATTAAAAGTTTACAGGCGTTTGTATATAATTATGTGCTTATTACCCTGTTCTCAAACACCGTTATATGTATTTCCTTAAAACAAAAGAAGGATTTCCACTAGTACAAAACAAAGGGTAAATTACTATTATTTATATTTTAATATAAAAACAGTGCGAACAGAACATAAAAATATCGATGATGAAAGATGGGGCTAGTTTAAAGCTATGTGAACGTGTTTGATTATTATAATGCTATAGATCTATGAGTGAGGCTGGTTTTAATGTCCTATTTTCCGACATGCAGTAAACGTTTGACGTATTAATTCAATCACGATGGCTATTGAAACTGGACATTTCAAAACGCATTTGAGTGGCATTCGTTTCGTGGACGCTTTAGTGTACATATTTGGTCATGTTTATTGTTGAAATATATCAGAATTAATTGAAATTCATTCGTGATAGTGTTTACAACAAAGCGAAACGCAGGTTTCCACTTTGTCCCTTGTAATATTGTGGGATTGTGTGTGATACGTCGCTTTTTAATCTACGTGCAATTTCACGTGTCAGATCTCCTCTCATCAAGAGTGTACATGTACCTTAAGCTCCGAAATGTAACCAGCACTACATGAAAATCGATCTTGTGCTCAGGCCTGCTGGTAAGAGATGGGGCTTATGTTTAAAGTTTGACACTGAACGTGTACGTTGTTCGTAAGTCCGTGACCAGAAAAGAAGTCTGTTATTTGGTAAAACACGGAGGAAATGTACAGAGCGAATCGTTTCTTAAAATCATATGTTTCGAATCTCAGTTGTTGGAGATTTTAAGTTGGGCGAGCCGTTACGGCACTAGAATTTTCACATTATCAGCAGTAAAAAGTTCGGCGATGTTGCCGCGTTCACAATACAGCGAAAGGGGTCGTGAAGGCGTCACAAATGCTGCAGGAACCGGGAAAAAAGGCAATGACTAGCAAAGTTTCGTGTCAACGTGGCAACATAGCCGTTACTCTTTGTTACTGAAGACTTAAAGGCTCTAGTGCCGTAACTTTGTGGCCCAGGTAAAAAAATCCCGACACTTGGGATTAGAAATACATGATTTACAACTTTTCCCGCTGTATACAGAGTGTCCCAAGCAGATGCATACACGGTGATGACGTATGTAATGGATATGTATATATCTTTTGGGACACTGTAGTTTTTCAAGTAACAGAGGTCACCTATGGCTGTGGATTTATGGGACAAACCGTATAGTGACATATTTAATTCTCTACGTTTTTCTGCTATTAAGACCTCGTTAAAATATTTCTTGTTTCCTGTACCATTACTCAACAACACATACACTGTCAGTTTATGATATATAATACTTAATAATAATCCTAGTTATTTCGGAAAATCAACAAAATTAATAAAAATTATAAATTACCGACACTTTCGTTAAAATACGTCTTATTGCTTGGCCTCTGAATGTATTCGCACAGAAGTCGTTTACACTCATAAAACGTATTATTTTGTTCATCCCATGTTATAGACTTATCTATAAACCAAGTCAGATCTCGTCTGTGAGGATCATTATTACTCATTGTTCCTTCTGGAAAATGCATTTAGATTGCTACATTAAGATTTTCCTCGGTGTACGTATTTAGTTCCAAGAAAACTCTTTATTTTGAAGTTCCGCGATTTAGTGTTTGTCAGGGATTTAATCTACATTCTTTAGAAATAATCGTCATAAAATTCTTGTTTGCCGATAATAAAGGTTGTCACCTTAACCTCGACGTAACTGTATTTTCCTTATAAAGTAAATTAAATCTTAAAACATCTTAATGGCGATTGAAGTCAGATACCTACCAAACATACCAACAATAAACCGACCACCTGACTCCAGACTCCAAAGTCCAACTAAACGCATAATTTGCCAGAGCCCCACCATAGGCGCCACCATGGCCTCACTTGAATTTCTTGCTACAAGATTCGCCACCGCGAGAAGTTAAAATCAATTTTATGATCGACAATCAGACGTGACGGACATTGGCTATTATATTAGGATAAGATTCTCTGGAAAAGAAATTATGAGCTTCTCATAATCAGTTTTGTCCATTATATCGCGTTGTATTTGGAATATATCACAGATGTTAAGTAAATTACTGAAGTACGATAATGTGTAATTTCAGCGTACACCTTTCAAATAACACTTGGAGAGATCGTGTGCTTTAATCTGACCATGTAATCTTCAGTCTCGTTACCACACAACCCCCTACTCAAGTAATTTGTGC